GCATAATCATTTATACACCCTAACGTATAAATATTTTTATAGTCATGTTATATTTTGTATATAAATGCAAATATATATATATATATATATATATATATATATATATATATATATTATATATATATATATATATATATATATATATATATATATATATATATATATATATATATATATATGTATATATATTTATAGTAAAAAGGGCCTGTCTGATGTTAAGCTCTATTGTTCTCAGTTTACTATTTCTTGTTTCTTATTTCAGATTTCAGATTCTAGAGTCTTTTGAAAAGTCTTCAACAGTGTCATTAACTAAAGCAAGTCTAATATTTAGTCTCTAGTTTACTTCTCCTTAGAATAGGACCGAATTATTTGGAAAGAACTTTTTCTATAACTTGTTTTGTGAATCAAATAGCCATATTTTTAATGTCATTTAAACAGATAAACCAATTGTTAAACAGCTAAATCAATCGGGCTTCTAATGCTAAAGATAATTCTCAATAATTATTTCTACAGTTTGTGCTTCAGAAATGATTTCCATTATACTCTTAATAAGGGGTTCTCGAGAACCCTCTTTAATCTTTGTTACACTTTTAAAAAGTGCTATCTAAAGTGGATCTAATTTTTAAAAACTCTAGAAAACACTTTAACCTCTCTCTTAATATCCTACGATTAGCCGTCACTTTGTTATTAGTTTCTTTATATAAATTTTTTGAGTTTATTAATTCATTTCTTTCTAACTGTAGTTTCAAAGGGATCTCTAACTGCCAAGACAAGTTGTGTTCATAATAAAGAAAATGTTTAAAAAAAAATTTGTACTAAATTTTTTTGATTAGCATACTTGAAAGCCGCTACCAAAAGCTTGCGGTTATGAAAGGGTTAAACCATAACTAAATGTAAATTAAACATAAAACGAACAACTCTATTATACCGTATGAACTAAATACAAAACGAGAAACCGCAGCATGCTGCCTTTATATTTTCTCCAACTCAATTAAACACAAAATATGTATAATTGTGTAATGATTTTGGATGGCTTCTAAAACAAAGTAATAATAAAGCTAGTAAAAAAATTTTTAAAATATTAATATATATATCTTTAAATGTCATTTCTTGTTATACGGTATAAATGATACCACTTTTTAGATTTTAAAATAGTGGCAGTACTGCTTTATTTATCATCAACATCATGTAGGTGTAGCTGAGTATTGAATTTATTGATTTGAATTTGAATTTGCTAACTTTTGTTGTAGAACTATGTGTTTTAGTGAACATTTGTCTTGTGAAATGTAAGTTGCGGACACGTGAATATTTATGATTCAAACGACCTTTGAGTAAATATTTGTTAGACTACTGCTGCTGATAGCGATACAGTTTAATATTTTTCTGATTCTAAATATGTAATTTTGATTATTTAAGAGTTGTTTTTTTTATCAGAATATAATATATTTTCAAACTATGGGTGAAGTTGCCTACCCTAGTCCGAGAAAGCGAGGTAAAGTTAAAGCATTATTAAAGTTGGAAATACTTTCTCAACAGGAATTTCCAAGAAATGTGAACTAAGTAAAACAAAAGTTTATACCATCAAGAAACAATTGGACTTTGGTTTTACGTCCTCTCCAAGATGCTCCACTTCAGGCCGAAAACAAGTCATGACGCGTAAGACGGGTTTTGCATGCAAACTGTCAAAAAAAAAAACAAAAGAATGACCAGCTAGCAACCTTAAGATGTGCTGCAGGAGCACCAGATCAATGTCTCAACAAGTTGTGTTTAGAAAGATCTGATAAAAAACAAATTTGTAGCACGTCGACCTCGCAAAAACCGCTTTTGACCAATGCTCAACAAACGCGACAATTGCAGTGGGCCATGGATCACAAAGATTGAATCACAGAACATTGGAGAAAGGTATTGTACCCTTTACTATTTTTTATATAAGAGCTTACAATCATGTATTCTGAATTGAAGCAAAATATAACACATTTTTTCATACAGTAATGATGTTTGATAGCATAGATTACCCGCTAATACAATTATTTTATGCCCATAGGTATCGAACGAAATAGCGATGGCTATGTTTATTGCATGAACGCAAAATGAAGTGAACATGTAACCAGTGATTACAGTATGTTAATCTAATGTATGCTCAAGGCTTTTACACTGCGTTTGTATTTTTAGGTTTGCTTCAGTGACGAGTCTATGTTCGAGAAACTCAACGATAAATGTCAGTACGTGCGCCGTCGTCTTGTGAAGAATTTCACCCGCAATGTCTGATGAAGACCGTCAAAGTATCCTACCTAAGTAATAATATGGTCGATGAAAAGTTCTCATAGTGTAGAACCCCTTAGAATTGTTAAAGTTAGAATATAGCAACATCAATATATCAACATATTAGAGAAAAAACTTTTACTTCAAGATCCAAATCATTTTTTCTTGATGGTGGTTTCATCTTCCAAATAGACGGCGCATCGTGTCATATGGCACGCTCTGTTACAATTGTTTTGAACCGTAATAATGTTCCTATCCAACCATGGGCTGATAACACACCTGATATGAACCCGATTGAAAACTTGTCGATGATAGTCAAAAAGAGAACTGCCGACAGAAAGCCAACAACAAAAGTTGCATTGATTGAGGTGCTCATAGAGGTTTAGACGCATGATCTAGAAATACAAGAAATGTATCCAAGACTGATTCATGGTATACTTAAGAAGGTTGAAAAATCTATTGCAGCTAAAGGAGCATTCATACAAAAAGAAAAAAAAAAAAAAATACTAAACTAGGTTCATTTTATGACAGTGTATTTGTGTCTTTATAAAAAATATTAAAAAATTTCACTTTTACTAATATGGTCCTAATGTTTTTCACACCACTCTAATTTGTTTATAAAGTTTACCGCTTCTGTTTTTTAATTATTTACGCATTCTGAATTTCTGAATGGAATTAATTATTTTGTCAAAATGACCAAATAAGTCCTGAGTATTTCAAAAAACGATACTAAATACCGAAAAAAGTTTTTTGAATGGGACTAAAAGTTTTAGTTATTCATGCAAAAACGACTTAGGTAGAAAAATCAACACTACCATAGTTTATCTGAATCTAACGTGACTGAATTAGTAAACGTACTCATTTTGGTGTGGTATTGAAAATAATAATTTCAATTTTCATAAAAAAAAAAAAAGGTTTTTCATGGATAATTTTAGCAAATAATGTCTGATTATAAATGACACGTTACATTTATTGAAAATAAACACCAATAAGTGCTTTTATGAAAAAATCAAATACATAGACTTATATATAGCCAAGCCCCAAGCTACTTTATGTTGAAAATTAAATCTCTACTAAACAAAATTACTTGACGATTTCCTATATTACTTTTATCAGAATATAACAGTGGTTAAAATAATCTTTCTATACATACCAAATATGTCATACTTTTTGATGAAAAACTTACATATATTGTTATTGAAAAAACTTGTTTTTTTATTCAAAAATACGTGTAACATGCCTTAGTTGCATTGAGTATCTTAAAATATTGCGATGACGTCATACACCAAAACTGTTATAAATTAAACATGTATGGAATAAATTCTCAAGCCTACAGATTGCGGCTGACATTATACAGACTCCGAGAACCAAAAAAAAAAAAAAAAAAAATGGAAAAGGCGAGCTTTGACTAAAACGATAATTTAAATTTTGTTTTGTTTCAATCAAAAAAATTTAGCCCATTTTTTAAACACTTTTTTATTATATACTCAATTTGTTTCGGCAGTTGGGGATCCCTTTAAAGTGATTCTTGAAGGCCTCACGCTTTATCATTATGAGTAACTTTAGGAGTACCACAATGTTCTATCTTTGCTCCTGTATTGTTTCATATCTGCAATAACTATCTTCATGAAAATTTTACCTAAAGTGGCTCAACTACAAATCAACTTAAAACTCTTGTCTTTACAAAAAGTCTTTACTTTTTGATTGTTTAAAACAAGCACCCAGTAAAAAAACGAGACAAAAAATATCATTTATTTACTGCGAAAAAAAAATTGCAATGTTATTGGCATTCCTATATTATAGAACAACAACTCTTACTCTCTGAAAAAGTTTAAAAGTACATTGTATATGTAATTATACTTTATCTGCTAAGCTTGAGCTACACTCCCATTGCCATAAAGTTGCTTTTCTTTCATTTTTTTTTTAAATGCTTTTATAGTCAATGTTTAAACTTTCATCTCTGTTACCGTAAACCACAACTTATTCTTGCTCGGCTTCTTATTCAGCAAGATGCATGCATGAAACCATATTTTTGATTTTAAAGATTTCATTTGTTTAATTCATTCATTTATATTTATATAACTACTACTTGATAGTTTCTTTATTATTCCTAAGTCTTGGAAATCCTATGAAAAAATTTCCTAGATGCAGTCCATCTAGAAAATTTTTGGCTTTGGTATTATATTAATAAAATTATATTATTTATTATTAATTTAAAACTAAATTAAATATTAAAAAAGATTAAGAGCATTTAATAAGTTATAAGAATTTCATGGGGTACATGTTTTAATAACTGTAAATATTAGTAATAATTTTGTTACCGCACATCATTAACCTCGAAGTAGCTTTTGCATTGAATATGTAATATGAGATTTTACCTTTTTTAAGTAACTATAAAATTGATTAACAACATATATAAAATATTTTTGTTGTTAAGGTAATGCATATTTTTTAAAAACAAACAAAAAAAAAAAAACAGTTTTTAATATTTACTCTTGTTTTATATATATCTTGTCTTTTAGGTATTACTGGTGTCTCTAATATTGTGATTAAATGTTGTGTCTCTGATTTTAAGAATAAATTATTATTAAATCTTTGTATTTTTTATTTTTTCTTTAAAGAAAACTTACTTACAACTTTAATAATTATATTTAAATCTTTTTTTAGTTATAAAGGATTTTGTAATAGTTATTAAAATTTTTTTAAAATGCAAATTATTTTTTTTTATAATATTTTAGACTACAACGAAGTGATTAAAAAGGAAAATTTCGAAGTAAAAGAAGGTTTGAATATCGCTACATTATTTTTATCAAAAGCTTTTAAAATTGATTTTGAATTTTGCTTTACAACTATTGGCGAGAGCAACAACCTTGATAAGCGTATGACCAACTTGTTTCGCTTCAAACAAGCCCGTCCTAAGCTTTGTGATTTTGATTGTGAAATTTGGAAAAGATGTGAATCAAGATATTTAACTGCATATTTTGGACCCACGGTAGCAAATGGAATAAATATAAAGTTTGGTCAATGCCTGGATGGGACATACAGCGAAAAAGATTTATCTATTAATCCAGGATGTAAACGGTTTCAAATAGTACAGGTCTTTATTTACGGGTATTATTGGTTCATAGTTAAAGTTGATAATGTAGAGTTGTTTAATTTTCCAAACTTGAACCCAAAAGATTTACAGTATGTTGATATATTATTTTCTGATGTTGAATATGCTTCACAACCTGGAGTAGTCACATATCTTAATGTGGCTAATGCAGACTGTTGTAAGTTATATTTTTGTTAAATATCTTTAGTTTTTTTTCAATTTTAATTTCTTGCTTAATGCTTTTTTTATTTTATCATTAAATTTTTTGCATACCAAATCCAAAACAGTCCCATACTAGGATTTAGGAGAAGTATTTATTAAATAAAGCAATTTTAAAAAGGTACTTAAAAAAAGGAGACAGTTGTAAATATCTTAATTGTAAGTAATTTCTCTAAAGTCATAACAACAAAGTAATTTATTACCAAATTGGTTTATAACAATTATTATCAATCATTAAAATATTAATAAAGTAAATAATAACAATATTAAGGTACACAAACACTAAAACTAAACCACTAAAGTGGATATAGCAGGACTATTAAATCTTGGACATTTGATAAAGAATCAAAATATCAATATGATCAAGTCATATAAACAGTTTTAATATTTTTTAATAAACTGTTTTTCGTTTGGACAGTGTTTTTTTTGATCATATAGTAAATCCTAGTCATTTAATTTATATAATCTTTTCTGAATACAAAATTGCAATTCAATTTTTTGAAAATTGCAGAACAATTTTACACAACCTGTAAGTGCAAGCAGGAAAACAACAAAATACTTAAGAATTATTTTTTGAACTACATAATTTTGAAATGCGTATTGGCAACATTATATTAAGGGTTATTTCAAAACAAAATTAACTATTTTTACCTAAAATTAACTATTTCTATATTTAAAAACAGAAAATGCATAGAAGCAACGTATAAGGTAATAAACATAAATATGAATAAAAATTAGTAAAAAATTAGGTTTCACATTTGCTTTTTATTAAGTCAATAAAAAAATTCTAATCCAGCAAGAAATTGTCTGAAAGATGCATTAAATTTGACATAAAGGTTCTAATTCACTTAGAAAAAAGCTGCAAGCCACCGCTTTTAAGTTGTGAATTAGTAGGGCAAAAAAATAGAGTTATAGAGCAAGGAAATGGTTGACAGAAGACTTGTAGGTTCAATGACTCAGGAAAACATCAAGATAAGAGCAAGTTCCAAAGGATTGAAGTGCATCGAAAAAACTGAGCGAATGTTTTTAAAGCATGCAGGATAAGCTTTTGCTGACTAGTCAAAAGAGAATGAGTTTTAATTGACAGAACTAATAATTATAGCACCTTTGAGCAGCGTCCATGATAGTATTTGTTAAAAAGAAAAAGAGATGCAACTTTATGACGATGGTTAAGAGGCTCAAGCTTACCAAATAGAGTTGTTCCAAATATGTTTACAATGCCTTTTTAGACCTTATGTCAAAAAGAAGGAGCAACATTAGAAGAACAAGCCCAAGTATTACAACACTATTCAATATCGGGACGAATAAGATAATCGTAGAAGTGGAAAAAGGAACTAGGACTAAGAAATTAAGATATTATTGAAAAGGTCAAGCACGTTTAAAATATGGAATAAATAAACAAACGAAATTTAAACTAAAATTAAAAATAAATTAACTATAAACTGGAAAGAGAAATAAAAGCTAAAAAAAATAAAAAATAAAAATACATTAAAAAAATAAAAATCTTAGCTAATAATAAAGTTTATAAAAAATAACCCACAAAAATTGAAATCATAAAAGCAATGTTTTTAATTTAATTTAATAGTGCTTGACCACAAAGAATTTATACTAGAAAAAGAAAAAAATTAAAATTACTTAATCCAAGCTTAATTACTTTGAAACTTAAGTATTTAAAAAATTGAAATTTTGATATCTTCAATTGTCTTATAAAGCAAATAATACATTAAAAACAAAATTCTTATATTAGGATTAGAACCAAAGGCCAATTCCTATACGACAGCAGCGCTTTATTAATGATTCAATAAATCAACCTATACCCTACAACAACATGGCAATACAAGAAAAGTTATTAGCCTTAACTAATAATTTAAACGCTTTTAAATTAATCATGTTTGATTTATTTAGTGAGACACTTTAAATATAAAAAAACGTTGGTTTTATTATTTTCCGGTTTATCTTGTTTTTATTTTATCATTAAGTTTGTTTGTTTTTTAAATTTATGTTTTATATTTAGTTTTCTCTTAAAATTGTATGGTTTTTCAACAAATTTTTTAAAACAAGCAAATTATTAATATATAATATATTATCTTTTAATAATAATAATATAGAACAAATCTTTCGTAGTGTTGCATCATTATAATCGTACAGCCACCAATGTTGGCGCCATTTAATTTTACCGAGTCTTAAACCAAAAGCAAAATTGCTGAAAATTTCTTGTTATACTACCTTTAATTTAAAAATAGTTTTTTTAGTTTTATGGAGAGTAAAACAATCAAGTAACAGTAATGTAAATGATATATTTGTGAATTTTTTATTTTATTTTAATTTTGGGCGTTGTTTAATTGATAGTAGATGTTTTACTAATTTTACTAATTTTTTAACCCAAACCCTGTTTCACGAATTTTTTAACCCTAATTCTAAGCCAGGTGACTTTTATTACATTAAAATCACCCATACTAATTATGTTCTATTTTAATAAATACATACTTCCATCTGCACCAATTCTTGAATAGGTCTGGTGTCAATACGGACTTTTAAGGGTATAACATCCTCGGCTGTTTGTATAAAACTGTCTTTAGGAACTCTATATTAAAAAATGTGATGATTAGTATACTCTCAGGTCCTTAATACAAGAAGGGGTGAAGCTAAAGATAATAAATATCCCCATCTTTTATAAGGCAACTAAAGTTACTATATTCATATTGGCAAGCTATTTACTACAATTCAGTCTCTTAAGAATAAACATCACTGATGAAGACATAAATTTATCATCTTCACATAGAACTTTGGGAATAACTATTATTTTCCTTATTAAAGGGATTAAATGATGCAAAAATACTTTTTTCTCTGATCCAATCGAAAAATTACTCTGAGGCGAAGTGACTAAACCTGCAGGAACTATGTCAAGATTATTTTATAATATGTTTTTATATAAGACTTAAGTATTTTAATTATATTTGTTAATGCTAAAACAAAGTCAAAAAATGTGAAAGTAATTCTGTTTTTTTTTTTTAATTTAAAGGCCTATACATAGAATTTATAACTTATAGAACAAGGCTGCTGTGCAAAGAAGCAGTTTATTTGCAATACTTTTGCGAAAAAAACTAAACTCAGAAAAAACTTTAAAAATCTTTTTAAAACCATTTTAAAGTAAAAAAATTATAAAGTCGTATTGGAAACAAACATGTGAAAATAACATTATTTTTCTTGCACATGCAATTTTTCAAAAATGTTTGTTTTTCAAAAGTTTTCAGAAAGAAATAAAAACAATTTTTTTCAACATACACAAACACTGAGGATAGAGCTCTCTTGCAGAAGAATGTTATTCTTATACCTAAAAATTCCATTATCCGATTAGACAAAACACAGTTCTTGTATGAGTAAAATATAATAATAAAAAGAAAATGCAAGTAAAAAAAGAAAATATTTTAACTTTTTAGTTCAATTTTTTTTAACAATGTTTTATATTTTTTTGATGGAGGAGATGCTGCAATACCTTGCAGTTTCTTAGTATTCAAAATTTAAATTGCAAAGAGTTAAATTTTTTATTAAAACTAGCATAACTAGAAATAGGCCCAAGTAATAGATCAAGAATTTAAATTAACAACAAAAGAGTTTAACTAATAGTTTTAAATGTACCCCTTCTAAAACTGAAATAGTTTTCTTTAAATAATTAAAGAAAAATATCTGACTTTTTACTTATGTTGTTATAAAATATAGTAAATACAATAAAATATAATAAAACGCAGTAATAAATTAAGGGCAACATAAGAACTTTTTTTTGAAGACTGACAAGCTGATAAAAAAAAGTCTGGGTGTCCTTTAACTAATTTTTATAGGAACTTTTGATAATGCACTTTTCACAAAAATAATATCCTGCATGACAAACAATACCATTTAATAAAACAGTTAAATGGATAAGAAATGGAAACCAGAGAGAAAGTTTTAACTTTATCAGTGTTTACAACTTATTTTACTGTAATACCGGATAACTTTAAACCATATAATGCGTTACAAAAATCATTTAAAAACGCACCCAAACTTCTCTTATGTATATAGTATCACCTCTGAGTTTAAAATGATTTAAATAAGGACAGTCAGTCAATGTTAAAACTACGCGGTGTTTCAGAACCTGTGAAATTATTTGTAATATATGATTCTAATCCACAATAGGAATATGTACAACCACATTTGTCTGACAAATGTCTAGATGAGTTTAACATTATTATCTGAACGCCTTTAGCTGCTTCAAGACGTTTTTCAGACATCTTTCACAGACGTTTTTAAGATGTCTTGCATCAAGAGACAAGTAGTTTAAGACTAGCCTAAAGACATCTTAACTTTATTGAATTTATGTTGACCAATCAAAGTGTAACAAAAATACAAAAATGTAAAATCTAATATTTAAAAAGATATGTTTTTAACCTTTAATAAAAGGCACCACAGAAAATTTATTCAAGTTTCATAAGGAATATAAAATTTATAAGGCATTTGTAAAGACAAATGGTTTTAATTTGAATAATGAATAACATAAGGTAAAAACCGTTTTTTTTCATGAATGAAATAATTTTTTTCAGATCATAAATTTATGTTAGCATAATATATAAATAAAAAAATAATTATGATTATATAAAAAATATTTTTTAATTAGATAATAAAAAGAATAAAGTTTTAGCGTATAAACACGTATAAACACGACTTTAGTAATAAAATGAAACTATTTAAATGTTATAAAAACACTCTAAAATTAAATATATCATAATTTTCAGACAAAAGTTTATAATATATAATATTGAAAATCAAAGTTAAAAAAAAAAACAACTTTTTTTGTAATTGAATAACTAAAGAAATTGATATCGATCATAACATTAACAACTAGTTATTGGAGAGACATTAATAAAATAAACAAATAAAACAACATTCAAACAAACGCTTTTAGTTATTTGAACAAGTAATTTTTTTCCCTTTAATCTTTAGTAATATACTAGATCGATTTTTGTTTTTTGTATATGTTGTATGTATTGTATAAGTTTTTTTATATTTCCTTTTCTCACTTGCTTCATTTTCTTCTTAACATTAATTTTAATATAATTTTTCTTTTTTTTTTGCAAATTCATTTGCACAGAGCTATTTTAATAATATAAATTAATCACCTAAAACTATTAAGTTATAAATATATATATATATTTTTTTTTAAGTATCAAAAGATTAGTATTAAAGAATAAAAAAGTATTTTTTTTATAGTACGCATATGCAAATAGCACTTAGAAGTATTCTGTTTGAGTTAACTTTGCAAAAAAGTATATATATGGTTTCCGGAATAGATAATCTAACAAGGCGTAAAGTAGAAAACTCAGTGAATGGGTTGCTATTTCGCAATATAAAAATTTCAACAAAATTGCAAAAATATTTTTAATATAAATTGTTGAGTTGTTTCGGAGAATGTTAACATCAGTATTGATTGTCAGAAAGTAAGTTACTAGACATAAAATAAAAGGTTAGAAATATGTTTATTAAAAAATTAAGAACCTTGCTAATAAGAAAGAAAGTAGACTTTATGACGATAGTTAGCGGAGTAAAAATGTTCTCTAAATTTTTTAAAAAGTTGAAGCCGCAAGAGTCTTTTAATTAGTTTAAAACTTTAAACTGGTCAGTTTGAAGTTCTAAACTAATTAAAAGACTGAATAAAATAGAAAAATTGGTCTCTAGAAGAGACTTCTAGAGAACAACTTCTTTAGGCTGTGACAGAAAACGGAACAATATATTTAAGAAATGAATAAAATAGAAAAACTGAATAAAATAGAAAAATTGGTCTCTAAAAGAGACTTCTAGAGAACAACTTCTTTAGGCTGTGACAGAAAACGGAACAATATATTTAAGAAATGAATAAAATAGAAAAACTGAATAAAATAAAAAAAATTGGTCTCTAAAAGAGACTTCTAGAGAACAACTTCTTTAGGCTGTGACAGAAAACGGAACAATATATTTAAGAAATGACTTTAGTGACGGAAGTCAGAATGATTTTGATTGATGACTTGTCTAACAATAGGTTAACAAATTTAGGTAAAACAGCAAAAAAGAAAATGACCACTTAATTAGAAATTAGAGGAAATGTTCCTTGTCAAATCTTGTCATATATCTATGAGAGCTAATAAGATAATACGTAAATTAAATAGGTTTGACTTTAACGATAAGCTACCAAATTTAGTAAATTGAGCTTAGCATAATACAGCATCTTTTTTTTATATGTTTTCTTGCAATTAGAAAAAGACATTTTTGTTTTTAAGAGAGTTGTACTAATTAAACAGTTAAAAAATGTATACCATTAATTATAGCTTTTTTACAAGATGGTAATACCCATAGAGTAGGTCGAGGCTTTACTTAAAACCGGCAAGAAGAAAAAATTGTTGATTTTAATATGTCTCACAATTACAAATGGTAAGATTTACCTAAAAAATGGTTTACATTGTATTTTGTATTAGTTACATTGTAAGTTGTAAAAGGAAGGTTAGAATAATTTTGGCGTTTGATTGAAGTAATGTGTCGTGGTTTTTTACAATTAATTTTAATATTAATTTTTTTACAATATAATCTTTAAAGCGATATAATTGCCAAAACTCACTTTTCATGGAATTACAAAATTTGATGTTATATATAAAAAAATAAATATAAAATATGTAGAAATTGATATTGAAAAGCTTTAAGTCAAGGTGTTATTTTTTAATTTTCTTACATTCTAATCTTTTTTTTTTTGAATTTGTATAGAAATCATTATTACAATCAATTTTTGTGATAATCCATATTAAAAAAATATACTTTTTTTATAAATTGTTAGAATTACATTGTTGTTATAAATTTTTTTCTTTAAATATTTTGAAAACTAGAAAGGCTTGTTTCCTACAATGAGTTTAAAATCAATGTTCTCATATTGTTAAATCCATTTTAGCTAATCTTGTTGCTGATAAAAACAATCATGCTGCTTATAAAAACATAACTTCATAAAAAAAAGTTAATATTAAAATTTTAATAAGTCTCTTCCCTGTTCCTACTTACTTTCCTACTACTGAATTAAATTTAGCAATTGATTAAATGATTTTTTAAAATTTTAATTAACATCTTTTATCATAACAGCAAAATACATAAAAGAGTTTAAAATAAAATTAAAATAGAAATATAGAATGAAAACTTTAAGTTTAAATTTTTTTCATCTAAGATATAAGATATATTTCCCGTCTTTTTTTATTTCTCTAAATATAGCCGCTGCTTTCGTAACCAAATTAACATGTCTTTCTACACTATGAAATGAGCATTTCATTAAAAATGCAATTTTGTGATGCAATTTGATTAAAATTTAAAATGAACAATGAGTTTTATTTTTTTGTCCATTAAAGACAACTGAACACAAAGATAAGATTGCTTTGAGTGACTATGTAGTTCTATGCAGTTGTCTATTTTTTTCTGCCGTGTTTTTTTAAATGCGGTAGTGTAGTGGTAGAACGCTCACTTCATAAGTGAGAGGTTTCGAGTTCAATTACCACCACGTCCCTGGTAGTACCGCTCTCAATTTGTTTCTCCGCGCTTGTTAGTCAAGGTTCGTTTTCGGAGTTATAGAGTTGAGAAAGGGTTATAACCACCAATAGCCTCCTCATATGTAGTGGCTTTCTCGGCCTTGGGGAGGTTAAAAAATAATTTAAAAATAAGTGTGATAATGTGAAAAATAAGAGTGCAAAAAAATATTTTAAAAATAATAATAATCTGAAATTGAAGCTTTAGAGTTAGCAGCTCCAGCGGTGTTGGGTACATCAGATAGAGGACCAATAACCATAATTCTTTCATTTCATTAATCCATTAAAAAATCATGCTTAAGAACTGGAACCATTGATTTTTACGGATATGTGCAATTATTTAAATGAATACAATACAAACAAATATTAAATGTTGCAATGTAAAAAAATTTTAGCGCACTTTTAAATTTTGATAAAATGTTAAAAGCTGTGGTTGTATTGTCAATAAATATTACTTGCATGCTCATATAATGGCGTGCAATCGAAGTTGTTTTTGTAATGGACTGAAGTATAGTAAAGTAAAACAATTTGATTTTCACCTTTTTCTCCTTAACTTAAAACACCCACTAGCAACAGTTTACAAAGTTCAAAGTTAAGTTTTTAAACCTAATTACTAAATAATTAAGTAATACTTTTATTCCAATCTGCTTATCACCATTCGAAGTCATTTTTTTAATGATCCACCCTAGTGTACAGCCTCTCTACTCCAGCCATTAAAAAAAGCAGCAATAGCTTTTGCTATTGAGAATACGGCATAAATTTAGGTTTGTGTCTTTAAGATATTTTAAGATTTATTGATAAAGTTTTTTAAATTTGATTTAGTTCAAATTAAATAGTTAGTTGCTTTCTTATTTCTTTATTTACTTAACAGTTTAGATGCTGTGCAGATTTTTTTTTTAATTTTAGTAGACTCAAGTATGTGATCAGTATTCTGTGATGCAGATAAAAAAATAAACAAACATTACAAAAAAAAAATAAACAAACAAAAAAATAAACTAAAATTTTTTGTTTAAAAAAAATCATAATTAATTTTAAATGTGCGTTATTTTATTTAAAAAAAAACATTTTTACTTTGATTTTACATACCTCAACTATTTGTTAATTTTAAATATTTGCTTTACTTTGCACGGATTAGGTGCTTTAAGTGAATGGGCAGAATGGTCACAATGCACCGTCACCTGTAGAGAACGTGGTATTACAGCTAATCAACATAGAAGTCGCAATTGTTTAAACGTTACTTTAAATAAACAATGTTATAGAGATTCGTTATTGCACGAAAATCGAAACTGTATGGAAATTATTTCTTGTTCAGGTAAAAAAAGTTTTTTTTTTTAATTAAGCTATTTTGTATTTTATTTTAATAAAGTTTTAGAACACATGTTATTCGTTTCTTTATTTCTTATAAGCTCATATACTGGTCGTTATACCGATGCTGAAGTCTCGAATTTAACTTCATTTTTATTATGCTACTCCTTAATTTTTTTTTTCTATATCATGTTTTAAAGGCTCATTTTCAAACAAAATTGTTCTTAGCAACTGTAAAAATTAATTCTTAGTGACAATTTTCTTAGCTTGAACACATAATTATAGTAGAATTAGACTTTCACAGGAGACACTAGGACTGTTATCAAGTATCTATTTAAATAATCAAATTTTTTTTTTAATTAGAAATTGTTTAAATAAATTTTTGATAGTTTAAATAATTCAAATAATAATAATTTTGTTCAATAAATAGTTTAAAAAAAAAGGTGAACGTAAATTTTCTCTTTTTCATTTCATGTGAGTTATGTGTTTAAAATTTTTTGAAAGGACAGTAAAATAATAATCGACAGCAGAAAAAGTATTTGAGATGATTATAAAAATGCTTAAAGATTTTAATTTAAACATTGATTAATATTTTCTTGCTATATTGATTGCTGATGCCAGTCTGATAAAAAAAAAATCTAATAATTGTTCACCAACTTTGTCTCTCTCATGGTATTCATCTTGCTTGTGTTGATGTCCTCGACAAATTTGTCATTGATGATGAACATTCATTGATGATGAAAATTTGAGAATTTGACATTGATGATGAACATGGCGAAGTTGATAAAACTGATTAGGATTCTAATGATGAACTATATGTGCAACGGCGGGAAGAATTGAGCAAAAACGATGAAATTGAATTAAAAAAATTACAATAAAAATGAGAAAAATTGAAAAAGTTATTCAATTGATCTCTAACCAAAAATGATATTCTTCAACAGCATTGTTTAAAAAAGCTTGGAAAACAACAATCAATTATTCTTCACACAAATTCAAGATGGAATTCTTTGATCAAAATACTTTCAAGATATCTAAAGATATAAAATGTTTAAGATCCCTTTTTTAACGATTTCTCTCGCAGTAAATTACTACTCACTAAATCAGGAGTTGATCTCATTAGCGATTTAGCTCAGTGTTATGAAAAAACTGAGGTTGAAGCTCCTGCTCTTTGTAAAAGAGATGTTACCATCTTGACCAATGAAAAGATTTTTAAATTTATTCTTTCTCTAAACTAAATCAAAAAAAAGTGCTGTTGGTAAAGATTTTTATACTGCTGAGTTAGAAAAAATCAATGAAAGAAGAATATCTGGTATTATTGAGCAAACAAATACAATTAATATAATTAAAAACTAAACAAAAAGTAACCAAGTAATTGTCATAGAATGTTCTTTAACTTTCTGCACCAAACTTCAACTCCTCCTTGGTCCTTAAGGATCATACAAACAATAATCGTCATTCATTTAGGGCATGTGCCGTTTTCGAGTATTTAGTGGCAACGGCACTTCTGTTTCTTGGAATCCATTTTCGACTTCACCGTTCGTTTGTAGTGCGTTTTTGTCTCCAACATACTTTTAATTTGCGCAACATCGTTTTCTGCTTTATCATGACCACTATCTGTTTTCATTTCTTTTTCAACTTTAGGAAGTTTGCATGTTCATTTGTGTCATTTTCAATTTTGCATGTTCATTTGTGTCATTTTCAATTTTGCATGTTCATTTGTGTCATGTTCAAGTGTCATTTTGGTATCGGATATGTGTTACATGATGCCGGACTCCATTAACTTCAACAACTTGCTTCGAAATAATGCCAGTTAGATTTGCTGGCTGCCACTTTGTATGGCACTTCTCAATCGGCGGTTTCAACCATACATTATCACCATTTTTAAACATTTCGTTCATGTCAGCTTTTGCCAAAAAATTATTTTCTCTTAATCCTTTTACGTCAATTCGATACCTATATTTATTTTCTCCATCGGACTTGCATTGTTTTTGTCGGTTGAAACATTGTACCCGTATACTGCTTCTGGTATTGACATTTTCAATCTCTCTGCAATTCTCTTAATTGTGCGATAAATTCTTTCCAAAATTCCATTTTCTTCCAGATAATAGGCAGCTTGAAACGTAATGCGCACTGCCCAACCATTAAGAAAACTACTATTTCAACGGAATTAATCGAACGCTCAGCCTCAGTTAATTTATTCAACCATCTACTTCGAACTCTTGTCAATATGTCAGCTAAGTTATTTTTTGAAAGAACAAGTTTTACGTTAAAATTAAGACCATATTTTTCATTAAATTGTTGCAAAAGTCTTCTTCAAACTAACATTTCGCCCATTGCTTTTGATTTCAATCTTGACTTAACAATGAGAGCGTTAGAGACCCAGCGCAACACTGTCGTAGAATCTGTGGAAATAGTCACTTTTTTTAGTTTCCACATTAAAGCCATATTTATTCCTCGCCTTACAACATCCAGCTCCGCCATGTTTATGTGATCATTAAACATATCTTTTCTTAGCCATGTTGCATCTTCTACAGTATTTTTATCAATTTGAATAAGAGCAACAATCGCCAAAGAACTAGCGTCACCCACACATTACCCTCGTCACTATGTACAGTCCAATCACTATAAGCTGGATCGCACAATTCCACCTCATCATAAACTTCTTGAAGTAGACACTTTAAATTTTTATCGCAATCTTCATCGTACTAAGTTCTTGTCAAACTAACACTTCTTTTCAAATGGCTGCAAACTACACCTAAAAAATACAGAGTGGCAAGTGACCTACCAACTCCCCATAAACGGAAAACACTACTCTTCAGTTTAACATCAGCTCGATTCCTTCTGGACCACATCATCTTGCCACCAACGTTGTACACATGTAACTTACGAATATACGAACCACTACTCTCCAAACCATATTTTTCGAATTGACTTAAGACGTAATCAAGGCTCACTACTTTCTCATTAACGAAAACGTCGTCCACGTAAGCAGATGCTACCCTCTTTACCAATTCGTCTTAATCAATAATGGTACTCACAAAGATTTTATGATTATTGGAGCAAACTCAAAACTAAGCCGTGTCAAAGAATAGCTTTTGTTTTGAAAAACCACTATTTGGAATGGCCAAAGAGATTCCTCAGTTTTTAAGTAGTGACAAGCCTTGCGTAAATTAATAATTGCTGGTTTGTTTCCGATTTTTCTCCTTTCCCTCAGCTTCTCAACACACATCTGCATCTCTTGTATGCGTCTCGATAAAACTGTTTGCTTCTCTCCAGTCCAAAACGAGTCTGACTTTATTATCTATATTTCGTTGGATTACAACCATTAAAAGAATTTGCCCTTTGGGTGTCCTATCTTATTTTTGTCGTATTCAATTAACAATTTACGATCGATCCAATCCCGCAGTTCGGTTTCATATTCTACTCTTGCATTTTTTGGTATTACATATTCAAACACTTTGTTAAATGGGCCTTTATTAAATGGGCTTTGTTGCTGTAGACCTTCTCATCCTCTCCATTTCCATTCAACTTCTTATTCGACACTATTGAATATTGCTTCATGATCTTATTTTTTAATTTCAAGTTTATTGACGCTGTCTTTCTTTAAGATTGCTATTTTACACGAGCTAAAACCAAACTTTGCCATTTCAAACGGGAAAACATAAACTCATCCTAGCAATTTAATGAAACTCGTTCCAAACATTATAAAAGAATTTGCCCTTATATCAACTCCAAATGGTTAAAAATACACTAAAATAACTTCGTCTCGTACTTGTCTCCAAAGATAGTAACTTTTGACGCTAAAGTTTATTGATGAACTTAAGCATTAAAAGTTACTACCTTTCAAGGATTCTAGGATTTATTATAACTTCTTGACAACAATTTTTGATTTAAAATGGTCTTTGAACATCCCGTGTCTACTATACCTGTCGCTAACATACCATTAACTTATAGATGAATAATAGACAATGCGCTAATTCCAGTATTGTTCAGGAGCGAGGTAGCATACATTCCTCGCTCCTGTATTCGTTTCCCTGCGTCTTTAAGTATTGTGCAGCCACGTGTCTTTTATCCCCACATTTAAAGCATCGAAAAATGTTATTCAGAGCAAGATTCTTTGCAAGGGAAAAATATTTCGCAACACGATTTAACCCTTTGAGGTTGTAACACACCAACAAAACTTTTGTAACTTGATTTCGAAACAGCACCAACAGCATCATCTACGCATTCACAATTCAAAGCAACTTTTACTTTGGGTTTCATAACATCGATTAGATCCATAAAGGCTTGAAAACTTGGTGATAAATCCTCCGGCAATCCAACCTCAAACGCTTATCGCACTGACTCTTAGCGAGATAAACCAATCGTTTCAAGATGGCCAAAAACACACCAACTTACTCTACAACATTTAATTTTCGTTTAGCAAAAGTTCGTATGTCGCATAAGCATCTACAGAGAATTCTGCTAACAAGACACGCTCAACCTCTTTTTTGTCTTGCTTGTTTAAAGCATCGATACTAAATAAGCAGTTCCTCTTAGAAGAATTGGAAAGAGTACCTTCAATTTTACATTCTGCATTTCTGCAATCACTATAATTCGCTGTATATATGCCCGAAGTTCCATCGTACGTTTCAAACATATCTAATACTTTAATACTTCAATCCATCCCCGGTTAGCTTGTAACTTTCTTTCTTTACAAATATTTATTTAATAATCTAAGTTTAACTCAACCCTACAAACGTTTTACATTTATTTATATCAAATAACTATCCACAAAGATCATCATTAAAAAAACCACAAAAATTTTTAATTTTTATAATTACAATTAAAATAATTTAAAACTACTAAGAAAAAGAAACCGCGTAATTGTCATATAATGTTCTTGAACTTTCTGCACCATATTTACATTTATTATTCAAAAAAGAAGGATTTCCATTCGATAGCAAAGGATCTATATAAAAGACTTTTTTTTGAAAGAAATAATTTCAATTGAAAGTAGCTCATCAATTGGTTCAAATTACTAAAGTGCTGTTCCAGAATTTAAGGAATTGTTGCAAAATAAGATTAAAAGCGATAAACTTATAATAACAATGATAAATCTATATGATAAACTTAAAATATTAATCTGAAACTGTTGTGATTTACTAAAGAAGTGTTTCCCTTGTTTGAAGCATCTAATAATTGACCAAAAGATTCAGGAAAACTTAGTTCAGCTCTTTCTTTTTACCATTCTTTTAATCTGTGGAAGCTGAAAGATGCTTCAGCAGGGCTGGCTTATTCATTACTAAACATAGAACATCATTAAGTTATGAAATGATTGATACGTTATGCTTTTTAAGCTCATATTTAACTAGAAATAAATAGTTTTCATGTGTTTGGCTGAAGCAATAGACCAACTTTGTTATTCCTTAAAAAATACAATATGCCCCCATATATAATATTTTGTTATACTGTTAAAGCATAAAATTAGCCCATAAAGGAATGTCTTTAGTTTTTACCATGGACCAAATTACTTTATACTAAAAACTAATATCATTATTGAACCCCTAAATTATTTGATATTATATAAATAATTTTTCAAAGATGGCATGTCATTTAACTAATTCAATTTTTCCATTAATTAATCAGCCCTAGGAGAGGCCTGCAACCGCATGCCTTGCCTCACACTCATTTAATGTTTTGTTTTGACAATCTGGCCATTGCTCTGAGAATGTTTTGATTTTGTACATTTCAGATATGCACTGAAAAAGCAAAATTAGTCGAATATAAAAATGAAAAAACCAAACAACGTAAACTGCAAAATAAATACAAAGTTTTGTTAATTGAAAAAATAAAATAAAAACCTATGAGAATTCATAAAATTATATATATATATATATATATATATATATATATATATACATATATATATATATATATATATATATATATATATATATATATTTTTATGAATTCTCATAGGTTTTTATTTTATTTTTTCAAGAAAGAGTATTGGTTGACTATGAGGCCCAAGACTTTAAATAATTTTTAAGAGTATAAGTAAAAAAAAAAAAAAAATTTTTAAGAGTTTTAAGACCTTATATAAAAATAGATACCTCATTTTCTTATATTGCAGGTATACAAATACCTGCAGTGTGAAAGTTTAAAAGGATTTTTACGTTGTTAAATAGTTAAATATAATTTTATTGGTTTATTATAAACTTATTTATTGTTTATATATACATTATCTAGATATTTTTTATTAGTTTTTTAATCGCAATTAGTTAATAGTAAAATATTTACATGGTTTATTTTTAAATTGTATATTTCAAATATTGTTTGTAAGTTTCATTATCTTTATTTTAGGCAATGAGGAATCAATTTTATAGAGGAAATTTTAAAATGAGGAACAATTTCAAAGTGTGATTAAGAATAAGATAAATGAAAATGTGAAAAAGCAGCAAAAATTTTTTTTAATTTTTAAAATTTTATATGGTAATTTTTTTTTTTTAATTCAAAACGTTTTCTGGTAATTTTTTGAGTATCAGGAGAAATTGTTTTGAAGTGTGTTTTACAAGTACTCTATGGATTTATTAGAAAAGATAATGATTGTATTAGTAATAATGATTTTTCATATTATGTCATCAAATTGAAAATGAAAGATTATTTAACGTTTAAGATGTTTTTTTTCGTTTTTTTTTTTCAACATATATACATGTTCTTTGTAACTCGAGCACTAACTCGAGTTACAAAGAACATGTATATATGTTGTTATAATTTTTAATAGTTCTTCTAATTAAAAAAAAAAAAGAAACATTGAATAACGATGCTCAAAGTTGTATTGCGGATGTATGTTTTTAATTGTAATAAATGAAATATCTAATTACTAGTTGGCCGTAAAGTGGGCCGAAACAATTTTGAACACAAAGTATTTTTGAAGTTGCCTTAAAGACCCTTAGATATTGAAAGGCTCCCAAAATATTAAAAAAAAAACGCTTTTAAAAGTACTGCAAGTACAGCAGTATGCAAATTAAAGCATAATTATATTAATATCTTGAAATAATATTTATTTTACAAAAAACATTTTACAAAACATTTCAAAACATTAGCAAATCATCCAAGTACAAAATTCTATGGTCAGTAGACTAAAATGAGACTTTTAACAAAACCGGCTCAAGCCAACGTAAAATTATAAGATTCAGCTGGAGTAGCACGTTGCTAGCTCGATTGGCAGCAACTTTGATTTTGGGGAAAAAAGTAATTAAAGTAACTTTATTACGATGGTAGAGTGGCTCAAGATTAAACAATAGGTGGCAAAAGAGTAATTGCGAGTTGATGTATCTAATTTTACTAGATATAACATGTAATATCTAAAGGTCTATACTAGGACCGTTTCTGTTTCTCGTTTAGATAAAAGATCTATAAAATACCTCAAATAAGGAAACATTATTGTTCGCTACTAAAACAAAATATCTGTCTAGCAATAATATCATAACACTATATAATGACATGGACATGTAGCTAATTAAAGTTTCAAAAAAGTTCAAGTCAAATAAGTTAACCATTAACATAGAAAAACCTATTGGACCCTATTTCATCTAAAATTCAAAAAATGTCTGCTGCCAAATAAATACTTTAATTATTTTTTAACTATCATCTTCATTGGTAACAGAAGCATCTAGAAAGACCAATAAATTTTAAAGATCGTTTTACTAATGCAAAACCTCTTTTATACGAAATGAATGTTTTTAATATACGCCAACTAAAATATAAGATAAACTTCAAATGTAAGATAATATAACACAAAATACAAATATAAGATAAACTTAACTTCTAAATCTTTTTAAAATTTGTATACAATAAAGCCCAAAAATAAATATGATCTAAAAAATAAAAAATTTGTCAACATTATTCGCATACACATTTTGAAAGGTGATTTATATTATATCGCGTTTCATTTTTGTAGAACCAATGAGGTATAATGAAATGGATACAGAACGAAGCCGAAAATCATTTATAACTGTAGTACTGTCATGTTGTATAACTAAGGCTGGTAATGGGTCGGATCTGGGTCGGGTATCAATTTGGTCTCAAACTGAAAGCCTTAGAAACTGAAACCCTAGATTATGCGAACCCTTCTATTGTAGGCGTCTTAATATCACATTCACACCCGAAAATGAAGGATTCTGGTTATAATTAAAGCTCACAGGCCAACAAGTAAAAAGCATTATTAATTGGCAATGCATGAATTTTTTTTTATTGTCAATGTATGTACTAAAATCCCTCTTATAATGTGACTATTATAATAGCTAAAAACCGAGACCCAACCATGTTCAAAAACTTTTAACGCTTTTTACGAAATCAAAAGGTATACTTGATTTTGTTAAAGAAATACTTTTAATGTGGTTGGTTCTTTTTTTTTTAGTTAAATTATTATTATTTTTTTTTTATTAAAATTTAAATTGACATGTTTAAATGAAATTTAACTACAAAACTAAAAAGGGAATAGTACCCAATTAAAGGTGTCTTCCTTATTTCCTATAAATCCAAAAATAAAATAAAAATAATCTTTTAAGAACAACATTCTTCACAACTTTTATTAAAGCACTTTGTAGTTGCGTTGAGAGCAAAAAGGTTTTTTTTTGCTTGGTCCTTAAATGTTCTAGCGCTAAAAATCAGATCCGAATTTTTCAATCGAATGATTTTGATTGAAGTTTTATTTGTTGCTTGTTTTACCAACGCCGAACTCTTTATGTTCTTAAGAGCAATTCTTCTGTTGGTTCTTAGCAATTTCAGATTTTCAATGCATTTATAATCATTAATTAATGATAGTGGGGCAATATACATAACTTCCATGCTTGGACTATTATGGCTTGGACTATTATATATTACTACATAACTTCCATGCTTGGACTATTATGGCCATTTAGTATTCCCTAACGCTTTTATTTTCATAATACATTTTTCACCACATTGGGTAACCTTGAGACCTTGCAACTTTACTTCTAATTTGTTTTTGCTACCAAAAATCATTATTTTTGTTTTTTCATGATGAAGTGTAAGTTCATTAGCTACAAACCAATTACTGACTTTCTCCGATTCTTCAGCCTTTGATCGAGTGAGCCTTTGCAACCACTGTTGTGTCATCAGCAAAAAAATAAGTGTCAAACTCTGTTTGCACTTGGGAGTTCGTGAATATAAATTTTCAAAAGCAAAGGACCCATTCATGTTCCTTGACCAACTCCTAACTAAACAATTCTTTCTTTAGAAGTGCAATTTCTTATGACTACTGCCTGCTCCTGGTAGCTAAGTATGAAGAAACCCATTTTAAACTTTTTTCACTTGTATTAATGTTTTTGAGTTTTTTATAAATAATGGCATGCACGCAACTGTCAAAAGCTTTTTTACATCAATTAATATGACTGCTACATTTTTTTTTGTTTCTATAACTTGTTATGTTATTGAAAAGTTTCAAGTTTGTATGGATTAAATTGCATCCCTTTTTGAAGCCATATTGGTTTATCGGAATGATTCCGTTATCCTCAAGATTCATCTCAAGTACAGCTTTTTCAAATAATTTTGATAATGCTGGTAATACACTTATCGGTCTGTAATTACGCATAACGGTTTTGTTTCTTTTTTTATAAACAGGTTTATATTTGCTAGTATGATATATTCGGGGATATAATCTAATATAATACTAATCGAATACTAACCCTGACCCTAACCCTGACGATATATTCGGGGATATAATCTAATATAATACTAATCGATTCGTTGATCATTTTTGTTAAAAATTTTTGTGCATCCTGATAAGCAACATTTAATAAATTTCTTACTAATTAGGTCAAAACCACAACTACTTTTAGGAACTAAATCATTAAGAATTTGCATAATTGACTCATTAGATACTGACTTTAAGGCGCAAGTAACATTGTGAGGCGGAAGAATTGTAATGGTTTATGGGAATAAAGTTGCTTGGTCTTAGCTCAAGTGAAGTATTTGTAAAGTGGTCTATAAATAAGTTAGCTATTTCAAGTTCTAATCCAATAAATAATTTATTTTTTTCAAGTTTTATCGAATCATCATTACAAGATCTTTGAAGAGCTTTGTTAAGAACAATCCATGTTTCTTACTGTCGCCTATTTATGCCGTTATTCCATAATTATGAATTAATGCTTTAGCATTTGTTTGATTTCTACTAATCAAAACATGATCAAGGCATTTACCAGAAATTAGTATAGTTGGTCCATACATAATATTTATGAGATTGTACTCTTTTAGGATATTCAAGTAATCTAGAAAAGTTATTGAATTAGTATATCGATGTTGAAATCACCGCAGAATATTGTGCTGATACTATTATTTTCTAAAGTAATTTTTTTAATCAACTTTAGTTTCTCTTGCTCTAATCCACCTGGAGACTTATAAATTTTTACAATTTTTTACTTGTTATTTCCCCGAAACTAAATTCCCATAGATTTAACGATTTTTTTAATAAAAGCTAGTATTAATTACTTTAAAAATAATTCCGAATCTAACATAAGCTCCAGTACCACCACCTCTTAAAATTCTTTGGAATAAAACCGGACCAGTAAAGTTATCTAGTTTATAGTATATAAGTATTTTAGTTTGACATACTTCTTGTAAAATAATTACATCAGCATCAACATTAACGTAAACAAAATCTTTTAATAATTCAAAATTACTACTAAGACTGCATATGATAATACAGTAGCATCGTAAGTGGCATAACGTAGGTTTTTCCTTGATTTTATCAGTCGTTAGACTTAATTTCTTTTTTGTATTTTAATAAACTCAAAGATTTTATTAATCTTAGAGTAACTATTCTTTAATTGCTTTTGCTTAGATAATTTAACTACTTTGTTCTTGCGTATTCCGTAATAAATACACGTGTCCGTATTTGCTGTGTTTTTCGACATTTTTCCCTAACCTGTTAGGCCATTCAGCTAATAAGCTGTTTAGATAATATTGTTTCCGATTCAGTTAGATCAGCATTTAAATAAACGTTTTTGTACTCTTAAATTTTTTTAACTTTCTTGTACACTTTAATACTTGATTTCTAGCGACACGACTTTTCAATTCTACAACAATCGGTACATGATTAGCATCACGTGACTTTAGACGAAAAACCTTTTTCATTGTTACATTCGCACCTATCATATCTGTCATATTTTTAACAAGCACCATAACCTCTTCATTACTAAAAGAAGTTTCTGGATTGTTCTGCATATCCAAACCGAAACCAATAAAGTTACTCAATCTTTCTGCGAGTTTATCTGATTCCATTGTAATCTTGTTTATAAATGCCATTTTGTTCTTTTGATTTCTTAGTTGTGCAGTCAGCGATATTTGAAGGATTTCAGGTCGATCTGAAATCCATCGAATTTCGCTAACGTCAGGTCGGCAAAAAAAAACAAAAAAAAACAAAAAAGGATTTTTTGCTTTCTGTTACGATAGGGGTAATGATTAATTGATTAAAAAAAGATTGCTTTATAAAGAGAGCTAAAGATTACTTTATAAAAAGAGCTAAAGTGCTCTTTAGTCACTTCAAATCATTTGTGTCTTTTTTTAAATAGAAAGGTTAATAATAAAAATATTTAGACAGTCGAACTGTTACTGGTTTGAGTAAGTTTAATGTTTTGTTTAATTTTATA